ACCAAAATACTCAAGTCTGAAGTTCAATCTCCAATTCACTTGATATATATCTGATTTAACATATTCTTTTAAATTCCTTTTAGTAATACAGCCTTTTTATAACTTCAAGAAATACAGACAAACATAAAATAAGAAGTGCAAACCCCACTTCCCTGTTTTAAATCCCATAGCCTAGAGTGGTCGAGTAGGCGCAGGAACACCCACCCTTCCTCCCATGCCCACATTGCCATCCCCAGAAGCTGGGAACATGCAGAAGGAATTAAGGTGTCTTATCTGTTGATTTAGAGATGGGGAGATTATTCTGGGTTATCTGGGTGAGCCCCATATAATCACAAGGAAGCTTATAAATGAAAGAGGAACATAAAACAGGCAAAGTCAGTGACAAGAGAATAAGGCTGAAGTGATAAAATGGGAGGACTCAATCTGTCATTGCTGGTTTTGAAGACAGAAGGGGCCCCAATCCAAGAAATGTGGGTAGCCTCTTGAAGCTGGAAAGGCAAGGAAAAGGATTCTATTCTAGAGCCACCAGAGGGAATGCAGCCTTGCCAACACCTTGATTTTAGCCTAGAGAGACTCAGTTTGAACTTCTGACCCCAGGAACTGTAAGATGATAAATCTGTGTTCCTTCAAGTAACTTAAGTAACTTGCTAGAGCAGGCACAGAAAACTAAGCAGGTTAACCTCTGTTAGTAATCTGTTGACTGTATTACTAGACATTCTTTGGTACCTAAATAAAGGTATATTAATAATGCAGGTTTTCTTAAACCAAGGAGTACTGTCTATAACACTTGTTTCTGGTATTTTCACTAATGACATCATTATCCAACCAGGAATACAAAATAAAACACTGGGATCATCACTGACTCTCGCCCTGTCCTTGAATTCATACCATCTACCCAATCTTTAATCCCTTTCAATTTGAACATCAACATTTTCTTTTTTTTTTAAAGATTTTATTTCTTTATTTGACACAGAGAGACACAGCGAGAGAGGGAACACAAGCAGGGGGAGTGGGAGAGGGAGAAGCAGACTCCCGCAGAGCAGGGAGCCCGATGCAGGGCTCGATCCCAGGACCCCGGGACCATGACCCGAGCCGACTGAGCCACCCAGGCGCCCCATAACATCAACAGTTTCAAGAGCCCACCCTTTCCAACACCCTGACACTGCAATTACTCTATTTCATGGTGTAATTAGTTTCAGGTGTACAGTACAGTGATTCAACACTTCCATTATCACCTAGTGCTCATCATGACAGGTGCACTCCTTCCTCTCCCATCACCTATTTCCCCTGCTGCCCCACCCACCACCTCCCCTCTGGTGACCATCAGTGTATTCTCCAGGGTGAAGAGTCTGTTTCTTGGTTTGTCTCATTCTTTTTCCTTTGTTTTGTTTCATTTCTTAAATTCCATGTGTGAGTGAAATCATATCCCCTCATAACTTTTTAAAACCTATGATGATCTATATACAAAAGAGTAACTCTACAATTTCTTTGTACCATTCTGCGGCCCCAAAACAAACTGACAGAGCACGGAGGACTTTTGGGGCAGGGAAATCATTCTGTGTGATATTACGGTGGTGGATACACGTCATACATTTATGAAAACCCATACAACACCAAGAGTGAACTCTAATGCCAACTATGGACTTTGGGGGGATAATGATGTGTCAACAGTGTAGGTTCCTGATCATAATATATCTAACACTGTGGTGCAGGACGTTGAAAGTAGGAGAGGCTGTGTGGGCCAGGGGTTGTATGCAAACTCTTGTCACTTTATATTAATTTTATTAACCTAAAACTGCTCTAAATAATTATTATTATTATTTTTTAAGATTTTATTTATTTATTCATGAGAGAGAGAGAAAGAGAGGCAGAGCGAGAAGCAGGCTCCCAAGGAGCAGGGAGCCCGATGCGGGACTCCATCCCAGGACCCTGAGATCATGACCTGAGCCGAAGGCAGACGCTTAACCATCTGAGCCACCCAGGCGCCCAATAATTATTTATTAATTAAAAAACAAAACAAAGAAAAAAACCCAAATTGCTACAAACAATAACCAACCAGCCCACAAAAATATACTGGCTTCACAGTTTGTAAGAATGTATACATGTATCAGTCTGATCAGTTTCTTCAAAATATTCCAAAATAAACCCATTGTCTTCCTCATTTCTAAGAGGTGAGTAGCTCGTTCTTACATAAACAAGGGGAAGGGAGAGGGAGAGAATCTCAAGCAGATTCCCCACTGACCGCAGAGCCTGATACGGGGCTTGATCTCACAGCCCTGAGATCATGACCTGAGCCAAAATCAAGAGTCGGACGCTAACTGACTGAACTACCCAGGCCTCCCCTGATGAGAGACATTTTAAAACACTGATGTGGTTGAAGATACTGATGTTTTGACTCACAGTCTGACTTTATTATTAATCTCCTTTTTAAAGAGATTTAATTCACAAAAAGTACATTAGTACAAATAGAAATAAAACTTGAACTTAAAATTTTTTAGTGGAAAACTGACAAAAAACATTGCTTAAAATTATAATTAAAATAGCTCTTTCCAAAATACATTTCCATTTTCTCATTTATAGTTACAGAATGCTAATTTTTTTTTAGGTATCATCATCTGAAATATTAACCATTATTTCTCAGCCTGATGTGGCTGAAGTATAGTTCCATGATTATGTTCTAGCCAGGGACTATATTTTGTAAGCTTCCTTTCTTAGTCAGTTTGGGCTGCTGTAATACATTAATGGGTGGCTTAAAAAACAAATTTTTATTTCTCACTCTTATGGAGGCTGGGAAGTCCAAGATCAGGGTTGAATTCCAGTGAGAACACTCTTCCTGGCTTGCAATGCCACCTTCTTGCTACTCCTCACACAGTGGAGAGAGATCATCTCTCTGTGTTTCTTCTAAGGACACTAATCCTATTCACCAGGGCTACCCCCTCATGACCTAATTACTTTCCAAAAGTCCTACCTCCAAATACCATCATATCAGGGACTAGGGATTCGAATTATGAATTTTGGGGTCGGGGATGGGAAGACACATTCACTTCATACTGTTTCCTTGCAAAGAAGCTGCATGCTTTTTATACTCCCTTTCTTTTCTGCTTTCTAAAATGATGACCTTATGGCTGAACTCTAGCAGCTATGTTGGAATAGCAGGTAACCACAGAAATGGAAGCTTAATGCTGAGATGGAAGGACAGAAAGAAAGGATTCTAGATCCCTGAAGATACTGTGAAGTTCCCACATTAACCCTGAAGTGTGTACTTCATAACGTTTTTTACATTAAAGGAAAATGAATGTCTATCTTCTTCAAGTCTTGGATATTTGAGAGAATTTCCTATTATTGGGAGCTGAAACTAATAAGCTTAACGAATAAAACATTTTCATGATCCAAGAAGCAGGAATAGAGTACAAAGAGCTTATGTGGCATCTACTTCAGTGGCAAATAAATAGAAAATCTTTTTTTTTTTTTTAAGATTTTATTTATTTGTTAGAGAGAGAGAGAGAGAGAGAGAACACACAAGCAGGGGGAGTAGCAGGCAGAGGGAGAAGCAGGCTCCCCGCTGAACAGGGAGCCCAATGCAGGGCTGTAACCCAGGACCCTGAGATCATGACTTGAGCTGAAGGTGGACGCTTAACCGACTGAGCCACCCATGTGTGCCAATAGAAAATCTTTTCAATGCAAAATAAGGTGCTGTGGTTTACATAGAGATCACTTTAACCACATCAAGTAAGATATAGCTCTAAAATCTAATCTTTCCCCTTTCAATTTCACTCTTTCTTGCCAAAATTCAGACCCTCACGACCTTTTGAGGGACACTGCGTTTCTGCCATTAGTCACCCCCCATTCATTTTCCGCTCTGCTGCTAGAGTTCATCTTATAACACATACTTGCACTCTTCCTTTCCTAAAAATATCCTATTTAATTTCCTACAGCTTAACGAGGTAAATATCTTAGAGTCCGTTAGGTCCATGGTTTTGTGATCCCTATCATGCAATGCTTATTTTCCACAACACCACTACATTTCAGAAGCACTGAAAAATCTTTGCATCCTGTATGTGCCTAGGACAGGCTATCCTCTTTAACTGGAATGCCTTTTTCTACCTTGCAAACTAGTATTGAACTTCTAGAACCTAAATCAACTGTATTCTATGAGATACCTCTTACTCAGTGACAGGTGGTATCTCTTCAGGCTCTACATATATATATATATATATATATATATATATATATATATATATATGTATTTTAAAAGATTTTTTATTTATCTATTTGAGAAAGAGAGAGAGAGAGAAAGCGAGCGCACACAAGCAGGGGGAGAGGCAGAGGGAGAGGGAGAAGCAGGCTCCCTGCTGAGCAGGGAGCCTGATGCGGGGCTTGATCCCAGGACACTGGGAACATGACCCGAGCCGAAGGCAGACGCTTAACGACTGAGCCACCCAGGCGCCCCCAAGCCCTACATATTCTTAAGATCATTTCTTCAGCTGTACCTTCCCAAGGGAAGAGGACGTTCTTACAAGAAGTATATTTTACTCATCTGACAAAGTGTCTGGAAACAAGAAACCATTCAATGAATGAAGAATGAATGCAGAAAATCATCAAGGTCATTAGAGATACACACATAGTGCCATTTTTCTTATGTTTAAGAAAAAAGGCACCATGAGAATCCAAACTATAGATATATAATTTAGGCAGAGAGAAGATAAAGATGAGGGAAGATACTGAAATTAGTGTTATACTATGCTAACTAACTAGAATTTAAATAAAATACCGAAACAAACAAAAACCAACCACCCCAGAAAAAGATCTGAGAAAATAATCAGCCCCAAACAACACAGTGCAGTATCATGAGAAAAGTGAACACCAAGGTGTTTGTGCTGAGATTCATATTTGTGTACATTACACTTGTATCCTGTTTTCTGATACTCAAAAGTGTTTTTTCAAACATGGAAGGATAATAGGTCTGTAAAGCATGTCAGCTGATAGGTAATACTACTTACTCTGTAGTTTTGTAAACGTCAGAATACAGCCCTGCTTTCTGATACTTCTTCTTTGGGGGACGTGGGGCCTTCTTTTCCCTTGGGATGAGAGAAAGCACAGGCTGCAAGGTATTTTCAGGTTCGGGAGGCTTGGCTGGGGTTTCAGGAGGACTGGGAATCTCAACTGCTGCTTCAGTAAAGCTAGAAAGACAAGTTTAAAGGAAATGTTTATTATTGGCTATTTAAAGAACAAGACAGCAAGTAAAACACAAGGTACGGGACTTCCTCATCTGACTGTGATGGAGTAACAGATACCAGACTTGTCCTCCTGACAGAAACTATTAGAAATATAGTAAACTACTATAAACCTGGAGAAAGTTTATGAAACACTTAGCAGACACTGGACAATAGGACAGCACTGTGATCCCTGAGAAAACTGAAAAGAAAAAAAGAAAGAAAGAAAAAAAATAAGAAGGCGCCTGGGTGGCTCAATCAGTTTCGAGTCCAACTCTTGATCTTGGCCCAAGTCTTGATCTCAGGGTTGTGCGTTCAGGCCCTGTGTTGGGCTCCACGCTGGGTGTGGAGCCTACTTAAGAAAAAATAAAAAGAAAAATAAAGAAATAAAATTAAAAAAAATAAGAATAGTCAGTCCTATAGCAGTTTCCCTTTGTAGGGAGGATGATGGTGGAAGGAGGAGAGCCACAGCAGAGAACAGCCAACGTGATGAACTGAGCAGAAAACAGAGAGGTTGAGGGCACTGGGACTGTTGGGGCAGAGTACTGGAGTGGAGAAAGCCACAGAGGAAAGTAATTCTAGAAATCTGTATGGGCCTCCCATAGTACACCGCTAAATGCGAGGTTGTGCACATGCAGGGTGAAATTCTAGAAGGCTGGACAAAGAACCACCAACCTACTGTATGTTGTAACCTGAACAACTCCCAGAGCTCACACACGATGGCAGGTGATTCCATGAGGCAGAGTGGAAGGACATTGCCTAATAGTAGGGCATTCCACAGATATCCCAGAGGGGAATATCACTCATTTCCATATAGCTCAACTATTCCTAGAATAAAGACCAGCACTAATAAAGCTTAAAAACAGTCTTGAAAAGAATCTAAGCCAAACCACAAGTAACTTAACTGCCTACCAAAAAACCCTGAACATTTGGAAAAGAACAAAACCACACACAATTGTGCGATATTTACAATGTAAAGAAATTCAGTGAAAAAAACCCAAAGACTAATGGCCAAATATTTTCCAAATTTGATAAAAAGTATAAACTCAAAGTTCCAAGAAGCTAAACAAACCATAAACAATATAAATCCAAATAAAACAAGGCATATCATAGTAAATTGCTAAAAACTACTCAAGAAAATTTAAGAAGCGAGAGGACAAAATACACAATCTATACAGGAGTACAAGAAGAAGAATGAGTGCAGATTTCCTGTCTGAAACAATGCAAGCCAGAAGGCAAGGATATAACATCTGTAAGTACTAAGGGAGGAGGAAAGGGAGAAGGAGGGGAAGGAGGAAAAGGCCTGTTAAAATAGAATTCTAAGTCAGTCAAAAACATCTTTAAAAATTAAGTTGATTCCTGGGGCGCCTGGGTGGCTCAGTCTGTTAGGCATCTGCCTTCGGCTCAGGTTGTGATCCTGGAGCCCCACGTCGGGCTCCCTGCTCAGGGTGGAGTCTGCTTCTCCCACTTCCTCTGCTCTCCCCCAGCTTGTGCTCACGTGCTCTCTCTCTCTCTCAAATAAATAAAATCTTAAAAAAAAAAACTAAGCCAATTCCAGTTCCAGGCAAAGATGGAATAGATACTGAGACTTATCGTTCCACTAAGTAAAACTAAAGACCCTAGAAATTATATATGACACAAACATAAGCAAACAGACTGGCTAGGGACCTTGCGACCGAAGCAATGACATGGCAGGGAATTTCCTAGATAGTCTTTCACTACTGAGTATGAGGCAAAAACAATAAACTGTTTCCCTAATATTATGGACAAGGAAATTGTCTGCTCTCATCATATATTCAGCATCAAAGAAAAAGTTCTAGCCAGTGCAAAAAGGTGAGAAAAAGAAAAAATCCGGAAGAGTCAGTTCTCTAATTTAATTCTTTTTCAAGACTGTTTGGCTGTTTGGGATTCCTTTAGATTCCTGATGAATTTTAGGATGGGTTTTTCTATTTTCATAAAAAACATCACTGGGATTTTGCACTGAATCTGTAGATCGCTTTGGGTAGTCCTGGTATTTTAACATTAGGTCTTCCAGTCCATGAACACAGGCTGTCTTTCCATTTATTCACGTCTTCTTTCATTTCACTAAACAATGTTTTGTAGTTTTTTTTTTTTAAGCTTTTATTTATTTGAAAGAGAGAGAGAGATTGAGGAGAACGAGTGGGAGGAGGGGCAAGGGAGAAGCAGACTCCCTGCAGAGCAGGGAGTCTGACGCAGGACTCGATCCCAGGACCCTGAGATCATGACCTGAGCCGAAGGCAGTCGCTTAACCATCTGAGCCACCCAGGCACCCTGTTTTGTAGTTTTCAACATACAAGTTTTGCCTTCCTGAATTTATTCTTAACTATTCTATTCTTTTTGATGTTACTATAAGAAGAACTGTTTTCTTAATTTCCTTTTGGGACGTTTTGGGAAAATTGTTGGTTTACAGAAATGCAACTGATTTTGCATGTGGATTCTGTGTTCTCAACTTTGCTGAACTCGTTCAGTAGCTCTAATAGTTTTTGTGTGAGATCTTCAAGGTTTTTGGCATATAAGATCATGGCATCTGTGAACAGAGCTAATTTTATTTTTTCCTTTACAATGTGGATGCCTTTTACTTCTTTTTCTTGCCTGACGGCTCTGGTTGGGAATTTTAATACTCCACTATATTGAAGTGGCACAGGAGGGCACCTTCCCTCGTTCCTGGCATCAGGGGAAAGCTCTCAACCTCTCACCACTGAGGTTGTCTGCTGTGGTTTTTTTGTGCATGGCCTTTATTATGTTGAGGTAGTTTCTTTCTGATCATAGACTGCTCAGAGTTTTTATCACAAACATGTGTTAGAGTCTGTGGAATTATGTTTCTTCATTTATTGGCATTTGTGTGATTTTTCTTCTTTAGCCTTTTGATGTGATGAATAACCTTAATTGACTTTTAATTGTTGAACAAGGCTTACATAACTGGGATACATCATACTTGGTTATAGGATCTATCTTTCTATCTACCCATCCATCTGTCTATCCAACTAATTTATTATTTATCTTTTTACCTGTTCTTAGGTGTTTAATCATTTATTATTTATTTTTTACTGTTCTCCTTTCCAGGCAAATTCATTTCTACTTCTGTGCCTTATTTCTTTCTTCTGCAATCAAAAATGTTTTCTGCTTTCCTGCTTATCACCTACATATATAAATTCTCCCAGTGCTACGTTTCCCCATGTGCTGTCCATAGACCACACACATCAGAATTACCATGACAGCTTACAAGAAATGCAAATGCCTATTCATAGAATTTTAGAAATTCTTATTAATGAAGTCTGGGATGGACAACTTCCTAACCTTGTTGGTATCTATATCCAACACCAGGCACTCACTCTCTCTGTTTTAAAGATTTATTTGAGAGAGGAAGAGTGTGTGTGTGAGTGAGGGCAGGGGCAGAGGGGGAGAAAGAGAGAGAGAGAGACAGAGAAGCAGACTCCCTGCCGAGTGTGGAGCCTGACATGGGGCTTGATCTCACGGTCCCGAGATCATCACTTGAGCCAAAATCAAGAGCTGGACGCTTATGCAACTATGTCACTCTGTACACTCCCTTTACAAGAGCATCCATCTCATTCTACTTAGGCTCTGACACCCTACACTGCATTGATGCTCTCCCCACTTTGTACCATGGCCCAACTCCTCACTCCATTAGGTCTCTAACATCAAACTCAGGGTCACCATGGTTTCCATACCCCATTTGGATACCTATGCCTAATGGCTTTAAAACAGAGTATTTCAAGGGGCGCCTGGGTGGCTCAGTAGGCTGAGTACCTGACTCTTGGTTTCGGCTCAGGTCATGATCTCAGGGTCATGAGACTGAGCCCTGAGGTGAGCTCTGCACTCTGCAGTGAGTCTACTTGAGATTCTCAATCTCCCCCCTCTCTCTCCTCCCTCCCCCAGTGCATGCACACTCTTTCTCTAAAGTAAAAAAAAAAAAAAAAAAAAAAAAAGGTTTTATGGGGGAGCCTGGGTGGCTCAGTCAGTTAAGTGGCGGACTCTTGATTTTGGTACAGGTCATGATCTTAGGGTCATGAGATCAAGCCCCTTGTGGGGCTCTACACTGGCCACAGAACAGGCTTAAGAGTCTCTCTCTCCCTCTGCACCTCTACCACCCACCCCCCTCCACTTGTGTGTGTGCTCTCTAAAAAAATAAAATAAAAAAAATATGGCTTTATGATATATTTATCTACATCAATACAATACTTTGTTCAGTTTCCATGGTTTTTGTTTTTGTTTTGCTTTATAAAAATAGTTACCAGCTAGTAAATCATTTTTAGGGACTTGCTTTTTTTTTACTTAATATCATGTTTCTAAGACTCATCCATTATTATTACATAATAGCTGTAATTCATTATTTTTTTTTATTTTAAAGATTTTATTTATTTATTTATTTGAGAGAGAGAGAACGAGAGACAGAGAGCAGGAGAGGGAGGAGGGTCAAAGGGAGGAGAAGCAAACTCCCCACCGAGCAGGGAGCCCGATGCGGGACTCGATCCCGGGACTCCAGGATCATGACCTGAGCCGAAGGCAGATGCTTAACCATCTGAGCCACCCAGGCGCCCCTGTAATTCATTATTTTTATTACCATATCATATTCCATTGTGTGAAAAACTAGAATATATTTATTCCTTTTCACGGTAATCTTGGATATTTCCATTTTCTATAGGTTATAACCAATCTTGCTACTACCTTTCTGAAAAGTGTTTTCTGGTGATTGCTGGGCAAGAGTTTTTCTAAAGGGGAACTGCTAGATTATATCGGATTTATTTGTAACACATTTTTTTTGTTGTTATATATTCTGGATACCAAAACTATATACATTATATGTGTTATAAATTTCCCACTTTGTAGCAAGTCTTCATATATTTGTCATGATGATGTTTGAGAAATAGAAATAGAAATCCTTAGTTTCTTATGCCCAATCATGGCATAGGTTTTATTGGAAGAGTCTAGAGAATTTCTGTAGTATGTCTTCATTCGTTGAGGAACTTTTTTTTTAAGATTTTATTTATTTGACAGAGAGACACAGCGAGAAAGGGAACACAAGCAGGGGGAGTGGGAGAGGAGAAGCAGGCTTCCCGCGGATCAGGGAGCCCGACGCGGGGCTCGATCCCAGGACCCTGGGATCATGACCTGAGCTGAAGGCAGCCGCTTAACCAACTGAGCCACCCAGGCGCCCCTTCTGTCCCTACTGCAGTGTTACCTCTGTCATATAGCAAGCTTGCATACATACGTGCTTCTGTTTCTCTTACCTACTCAGTTCTACACTGGCTTAATATACCATAGCCTGAAATTAAGTCTTGGGACAAAACTTTTACTTTATTCATTAATTCCATTCCTTGGAATATACCGTAAAGAAATGAATGCCCATATCCATCAGTGGACATTAAAGGAATATTAAGAGCAACATTTTTGGATAATAGCCTCAAAGTGGAAATAACCCAACAGTAAAATGGAAAAACTGTATTGTATACAAACAACGGATTAGTACACAATAAAAAGAAGGTAACTACAGCAATGTGTAGCAACATAGATGGTTTAACACACATATATATGGTGAGCAGAAAAGGTGAGACACAAAAGCATACTTCATGTATAATTCCATCCAAATGAAGTTCAGTAAGGATAAACTAAAGAATATTGTCAGGGTTACATACTTAAATGGTATTTAAAAAGTTATAGATGTGGTTACTTTGGAAGTCAGGAGACTGATTATGGCTAATGGTAGGGAAGCAGTTTGTGCTTGGGAAGGCACATGGGATGCTAGCTAGCAATGTTCCATATATCCACCCCTTCTATGTCTACATTGGTCGTTAACTTTGGGAAAAAAATTTTAAACTGATTTCTTATGTCTATGTACTTTCTGTATGTGTATTCCCCTCCTTACTTCCCTCACCATCTCTAAAGAGGTTTTTTATTTTTATTTTTTTTTTACGTTTATTTATTTATGTAAGTATCTCTACAGCCACCTGGGGTTCAAACTTAAAACCCTGAGATCAAGAGTCCCAAGCTCCACCGACTGAGCCAGCCAGGCGCCCCTAAAGAGTTTGTTTTTTTTTTTTTTTTAAGATTTTTATTTATTTATTCATAAGAGACAGAGAGAGGTAGAGGGAGAAGCAGGCCGCCCGCTGAGCAGGGAGCCCGATGTGGGACTCGATCCCAGGACCCCGGGATAATGACCTGAGCTGAAGGCAGACGCTTAACCATCTTGAGCCACGCAGGCGCCCTCCCCTAAAGAGTTTTAATGAGACTAGAACGATCCTTTTATTTCAAATGTGGTTGAATTTTCTTGTAAACCGTCCGGTCCTGCTGCTTTCTTTTGCCATAAGATTTTAAATTAAAGATTCCATTTATAGAAAAGAAGCACTCAGGCTATTTCTTCTTGGGTAGGTTTTTCCTAGGAATATGTACATCTCAACTGAGATTTGTTGGGTGTAACGTGCTGATAGTCATTTTTTAATCTCTCATATATAGCTTATCTCCTTTTTAACTCATAATGTTCTTCATTGATCAACTTTACGAGTAGTGTGTATATTTTATTAGTCTTCAAGGAACTAACTTTGGTCTTCGGTGATTCTTTCTATTGTACCTTAGCTTTGTTAATTTAATGTATATGTTTCCATCTTCTTCATTTACCATTTTGGGGCTTGTTCTCTTGTTTTTCTCATTTCTTAATTGGCCTCTTGGTTCATGAATTTTCAGCATTAAAAAAATAATATAAGTCTTAAAGGCTATGAATCTCTCTCTAGGCACCTCTTTAAATACATCCTGCAAGTTTTAGTATGCAGCAGAGTGTTTATTCAGTTCTAAGTATTTTTAAGATTTTATGATTTTATTTTTTACCTAGTTTTTAAAATTTATCTTTTTTCCTTTTAGAACCAGGATTTGAACCCAGTTTCTTGTGAGTCTAGAACCCAGCTCATAACCATTACATTATTCTTTTGCAATCTGGTTTGTTATTAAATCAACAAATAGTATCCAAAGTCTTTAACATGGCAAACAAAGCCCTCTGCATGATCTGGTCCCCACAATCTTTTCTTTAGACTCATTCTCCAGGCTCTAGACCGTACTCTAATTAGCTCTGTTTTGGCCACAAAAGCCTTCTTTCACTTCCTTAAGCCTGCCATGCCTTTTCATACTCAGCCCATAATGTTTGTTCTAGCCTTGCTCCTTTAAATAACAGATGAAGTCTACTCTTCAGATTTTAATTTGGTAATTACTTCCACAGGAAACCTAGGTCAATTACCTCAACAATATATTCTTGTAACACTAAATAACTGTTCATACTGGAATTTAGACTGTGTGATTCATGGGGATAGTGAATATATCTATATTTGCATACCATTGTTACCTATCCTAGCACATAGCATAAATAATTTTGCAATAAATACTTATTGAATAAGGAAATGAATAACCCCTGCTATGTAACAAGTATTATAGTAGGTTCTAGTTAGAAAAAGGTAGAAAACTGTTGCTGTCTCTGGGAACTTTCTATATCATGTCCTTTCTTGATACATCTCCTCTACTCTTGAGGGTAGAAACTGTATCTTTCTCCTCATAATTTCTTCAAATTCTAAAATGTAATTTTGTGGAAAATTAAAGTGTTTAATGTTGGTGACTATGATACTAGAATTTCCTGGAACATAAAGGCTTTTCTGGAATAATGCCTTTTCTCTGAAGCACTTTTTTTTTTTTTTAAAGATTTTATTTATTTGACAGAGAGACACAGCGAGAGAGGGAACACAAGCAGGGGGAGTGGGAGAGGGAGAAGCAGGCTTCCTGCGGAGTGGGGAGCCCGATGCGGGGCTCAATCCCAGGACCCTGGGATCATGACCTGAGCCGAAGGCAGACGCTTAACGACTGAGCCACCCAGGGGCCCCTCTGAAGCACATTTTTAAGGTGACCCTTCCCCTAAAGTGAATGGTCAAAATGTCATGAACTGTCACGTTCTTACTACCATGAAGGCAGAAATCATTCTTTTTTCAGTGTTTTGGTTTTTTTTTTTTTAAAGATTTTTTATTTATTTGAGAGAGAGAATAAGTGAGGAGGAGGGGTAGAGGAAGACGGAGAAGCAGACTCCCCACTGAGCAGGGAGCCGGATACAGAGCTCAATCCCAGGACCCCAGGATTATGACCTGAGCAGAAGGCAAGACACTTAACAGACTGAGCCACCCAGGTGCCCCTCTTTTCAGTATTTTAAAGCCTCAGTGACTAAAATGGAAAAACACTGATACTAAAATAGGCTGATGGGAAGAAACAATAAAAATAGACCCTAAGACCCCAAAACATATAAAAATTCAGTATATAATAAAGGTATCATTTCCAGTAAGTAGGGAAAAATTAATCAACAAATAGTGCTAGTGCTAAGACAACCATTTAAATTTTTTTTTAAAGTTTAAATTACATCTCTTTTTAAAACAAAATCTCTATTTTCCTGCCTTTCCAAAAAAATACTACTACAATTCAGTGGGAATATAAAGAGTAAAAGCTACATACAACATAAAAACAGCCATGTTTATAAAACTGTAACCTTGACAATGAGTGATCATAAATATAGCACTCATAACTTGTACTAAAGCAAATTTCAACTGATTTAAACACCTATATGCTAAAGCTAATATGGAGGGCGCCTGGGTGGCTTAGTTAACCATATGCCTTCAGCTCAGGTCATGATCCCAGGGTCCTGGGATCGAGTCCCGCATCGGGCTCCCTGCTCTGCGGGGAGCCTGCTTCTCCCTCTCCCACTCCCCCTGCTTGTGTTCCCTCTCTCGCTGTGTCTCTCTCTGTCAAATAAATAAATAAAATCTTTAAAAAAAAAAAAAAAAAGAAGTATAAATTGGTGTGGTTTTTAAGAGAGCAGTTTGAAAATAAATGTTAAGAGGCTTAAAAATGTGTCTAGCAGTTTTAATTTGTATTTCTCTAATTGTGAACAGGGGCCGCCATGTAACTATGAGTGAGCATGCTGTATTTAGTAAAGGAAAAGTCATTTGCAAATGGTGAATACTGTATTATAACTCATTAAAAAATACCAAGCATACCTTCAGGGGAAGAATCTGGTTGGATACATAACAAAAGGATTAAAAGCTCTTTTTTGGGGAGTGATTTTTGGCTCTGTGCTCTACACCTTTTAGAAAAGTAAGACTATAACAAGGAAACTATGAAGAAAATAAATCTAACATGCAGAAAAATGTGTGACAATAGGATGAAAAGTCTGGAGCACAGAGAAGAGTCTGAGCCTAAAACTAACTGCAGGCACACAGCTATGTGCTGGGTAAAATACATAACCTCTCCGGGCCTTGAATTCCTCCTCTGCAAAGTCAGGGTTTCAGCCTGGACTGCTACATCCCATGTGCTTCTTAATATTTCATAATTGTGGGCAGCCATAAATAACACTTTTAAATAAAACAGAGGAGTACAGGTTTTACATAATGAAAGGTTAGGAGATTACCTGAAGAATTCAGCTGCATATGTATGTTATGTTTATAAAAAGCTGTTTTTCTCCCCTCAGATAAAACGTCAAACAAGGATAATTACCTTTTAGTATGCTCTTGCTCTTCCTCTGGGAATGGCTTCTGCTTTTTCTTGGTCTGTTCTTCCAACAGCCAACTTTTCCTCTTCAGCCCCTTCTTATGTTCTGGACTCAGGTTTACGCTCTGTACAACAGCCTCAATGACATCCGTAACTGTGTCGGGACGGAGGGGCAGGGCTGCTCTTTCTTCGCCTTCACTGGAGTCAGGGCTGACAAACCGGGCAGCCTGGAATGCTTGCATTGACACCACAGCCTGGAGGGGGCATTTCCGAGGTCGCCCTGGTCTGCGTTTCACAAAGTTATTCCCTGTCCTGGCCTGTCTCTGAAGTTTTTTGGCTTTTAATATTTTATTGACATGGTCCAGGTTTTTCTTAGTGGCCAAGATTTTGTCATAATTGCACATTTTCCGAGCTTGACGCTGCATGGCTTCCACGACACTTCTCTTGATATGATGGGGCGAGCAGCTGCTTGGCAACTTCTCAGACAGGAGTGAGATGCTGCTACTGCAAGAGTCACTGGGGGCTGAGGGCGCCAGAAGGCCGTCCGGTTTTCCCAGGGCTCGCTCCCTGCTGTGGCTGCGGCCTGGACTGGAGGAAGGTGGCCCCGAGGCAGATGCAATCACAGCATCTATATTCTTCTCCAGGGGCTCTTGGTCCTCATGTTGGACCATCCGCTGCAGCAGACTATCCACAGAGTCATCCCCGGAAGCAAGCAATCTTGGACTTCGAGAGGGAACTCCGTTTACTACATAAGATGACAAATCACACATAGAGACAAACTGAACACAGCTAGTCACTTAAATAACTTTTTACATCAAAGGAATACTGCTCCATTTTTCTTAACAGGATTAAACATCCTAACACCATATGCATTTGTCTTTCCCAAGCAAGTTTATTTTCCTGAATAAGGCATATTACAGTAATCATAATAAATTCAAAATTGGCCTGTTTCCCTAACAATATGTGAGTTAAAAACCAACAACAATTCTCAATCTCTGAGATGAGGAGCAGAAAGAAATAGTTTATTTCTTCAAAACTGACGGTCCATTTAACTGTAGAGACTTGCCAGTTGGTGATATTTCTAGTTCAGTGCTTTTTCTGACAATGCTGCAAGTACAAAGGATATAAGTGAAACTTCTTAAGAAAAGCTTTAAAACTAGAATACTAAACATATGTATAAACTAATTTAGAAAGAATACACGTTGACGGTAAGATCGGAAAATAAGTGGTCTTCGATGAATCTTGTTATCTTAGTGGCCCAATGACTTGGTGAACTTTGTTTCTTCAAATACCACTCCACACTTTTTTTATGACTACACATAATGTGGGAAATGCTCACCTTCCTCTGGTAAGTAAAACATTAGTTTTACAGTATCTGTAAACATCAGATCGTAACAGGGCCATTTCCCAAGATACCTAGTTGCTTACTATTAATGAACACAGGTCATACCTTTCCAAAGCTGATCAACAGATTTCCTACCTATGTGAGTTTAAAATGTGGTACTATTCTAGGTACTCCTTTACAAGCCCGGGGCATTCTAGATTCAGTCTCATCAATTTTTCTCAAATTACCAGTAACTTCCTTCAGATAATATCCAGTAGAGTCTTCTTTAAATTCAGGATTTTTCAAATTTCAAATTCTCAGAGCTATTAAATATCACTACTTCTTAAAATCTGGCCTCCACTGTTTCTCTGGTAATACACTTTGATTATCTTCCAATTACTTGCAACACTATCAGATTTAACTGTAGAGGTCCCTAATCCCCAATACTGTGTCTTTAGCTTTCATACTTACTTCCCCACTGGCAACATGTTTATTCTCACAGTTTCAATGATCAGAACACACATACTCATCTTCAATTTTCTCTGAAGATGACCACAATGAGAACTGCTTCCTTCCTATACCTGGCTTGAGCCCATGAGCATTTCTCACTTTCTCTGGTACAAGTGCTTTCCTTGTTGAACTCTCCATACTCCTTGGCAATTTGCTCAACTACCACCTATATTCTGAGATGCCCAAATCTCTATTTTCTGAATAAAACTTTTTTTCTACTTCTCTACTTTTGCATGTTTCACAGATTTCTCAAACTCACATTCACAACTTATGTCATTACCTTCTCCTTCAACCTTGCTCCTCCAGACTATGAAACTCAGTGAATGATACCATAAAGCCAACTCTTCTACATTATATGTATGGAGCACCAATTACATAGCAGGAATTTTGCAAGCCAAGCTCAGGTCACATCATCTATTACTTCTCCTCTACTCTCCCCACAAACCATAAAATGTGGTTCTATGTCAGTCTGGTCTCTTCAACCCATCCCCTTTCCTCCACACTACCCGCAGCCGCTCAGCACTGAGCTAACCTGGTCTCCCTGCCCTAATTGCTTGTAGGGCTACTACAACATGTACCCAAGTCTTGTACTTTTTCTCCCACCAAGTGGTAGTGTCTAATTCCCCTCTTGAATATGAGCTGCCCTTAGAGAGTTGCTTCTAGCAAAGAGAATTCCACAGAAGTAAGAACATGTTGATTTCCAAGTTTGGGTTAGAAAAGGCAGGACACATTCCACCTGGGTCTCTCTGAGAACATCTGCCCTTGGAAACCCAGCTTCCACAGTATAAGTCAGTCTAGGCAGGATACTGTCCCGTTTCCCAATAGATCCTGCTAAGGTCATAGACAACAGCTTTCATAACAATGACTGCAGCCATCAGTAAAATCATATTTTTATGTATTATCCCTTTTAGTGTATTTATCCCTTTGGATGTATTTCAAAACAGAGCATTAGTTCAAGGATGGGCCATAAGATGTCTTGTACAAAATTGTATTTGTTTATGTATCTCAATTACTAAACAGAGGGTCTCTACACTCCCTACTATTTCATTTCTTTGTCTGTAACTGGAAGGTTAGGACATAGTTCTGACTGAGTGATTTGCCTTTTGAATGCAAAATAAAGGTTGTCACTCTTGTGCTACTGGAGTAAATGAGAATGCAAGGTCAACCAATACTGAGGATATACTGATCAAAAACACTTAGATTTATACTGAATAGGAATTAAATTTGCATTTCACTCTGGAATAAACTCAGGGCACTACCGTTTGACAACAAATTTTCATTAATTTTTTTCTGGGTCCCACAGGCAATATAAATCTGCATGTGAGGGGCGCCTGGCTGGCTCAGCAGGGTCAAGCCCTGCGTTGGGCTCCCTGCTCAGTGGGGAGCCTGCTTCTCCCTCTGCCTCTGCGCCCCACCACCCCCCGCCCCCGGCTGTGCTTTCTCTCACTCTCTGTCAAATAAATAACTAACTAAAACCTTAAAAAAAAAAATCATCTGCATGTGAGACAGGAGGTGAGAATGAGCTTGTGGAGAGGTGCTCCTTTTCCTGCTCCTGCCTTCTTCTGTGATGGGTTTGTTTCCATTTGCTCTTGCCCTGGTAAATGTCACCTTTAGGGAGTACCAGATTTATGCAGGGAAATCTGATATGAACCTCTGTGCTGCTCAGGCTCTATGCCACCAGGAATCAGGCAGATGTCAAGCGGTTCTAATACTCTCTAGTTCTGTTGAATCAAGCTTTCTGAAAACTTCTGGCTTCCTATTTATTTATCTCAAAGTTCAGCAATGTTTTAAGAAATGTTTTCCAAATTTTATCCAGTATTTTAGTTTTAGGTACCAAGAAGTTTGTTTGCTCAGTACATCTAATTTCCTCATTGCTGGAAATAAAGAGCTCAAATTTATACCAACCAAGGCCACCTGAATTCTAGCAGTCCCTTCTCAAGCAGCCAAACTGCTCTAACTCTGCACTTGCCAACTGGTTTTATAAAAATCATCTTCTCAATTATTAACGTCCAAATCTTTCTTGACCTCTTTGTGACATCTGACATTAAGAGGCTTCTATTACATGTACTCTTTGATTTTTCTTTTTTTTTAAAAAGGTTTTCTTATTTTTTTTTTTTAGAGATTTTATTTATTTATTTGACAGAGACAGAGACAGTGAGAGCAGGAACACAAGCAGGGGGAGTGGGAGAGGGAGAAGCAGGCTTCCCGCTGAGCCGGAAGCCCGATGCGGGACTCGATCCCAGAACCCTGGGGTCATGACCTGCGCCGAAGGCAGTCGCTTAACCAACTGAGCCACCCAGGCGCCCCTCTTTGATTTTTCTACATAAACATCTGTGTAAAACTTTTATGTCATCACTGACACCTTCTCTTCCACTTCCCTCCAATGCGAATGTTTCTTAAATCTGCGTTCCTGCTGTCCCCTCTGGGTTAGCTCACTCACTGCCAGATCAACGTTTCTATTACATACTGCTAGGTCTGCATCTCTACCAGACGTCCTGCTCAAACTACAAGCCACTGCTTCCAAATGGCTCACTAACATCTCCACCTCAACAGCCCAAACGCTGCTCAAACTGAACATATCCAAACCTGAAGCCATTATCGATGCATTTCTTCACATTTCTTGTCACATTCCATTCTCCACACTGCAATGCTGCAGAGTTTCTCCAAAATGTGTGTGTGGTAGACTGTGCTGTTATCATAAATACCTGCTGCCCTGCCTTCCATAACATTATACTCCCCCCACTTCCTTCACAGAAGTCTTAACCATGCGATCTGCTTTAGCACTGAAATGTGGGCAGAAACTCTAAGAGCTGGTCAGCGCTTTACCGTGCTGCTCACCCTCCCTCACAAGACCAGCAACACTGCAACAGAGGCTCTGCTGACAGGGTCCTGGAAGGGAACACACAGCAGACCCGCAATGGTCACAAGGCATGAACAAAAGGAAGACTCTGTGGTCTCAAGCCACTGAAGTGTTGGGCCTTTTTTAGCACCGCAAAATCTATCCCATTCTGAATTATACAATATATCAAATAATTCTTATCTTCCCTGTTCAAAATCCTTCAGTGGCTCCCAACTGCCTCCGCAACAGAGTCTCAATGCCTTCAAATGAAACAAACACACAAAAAGGCCTATGCTGTATGGGGTCCAGTCTGTTGCGACTTTTACAGCCTCGCTCTCTACCACAGTCACATAATATCCCTCACACACTAGTGACATCCACGTGCTGCTCTCCAAAAACAGCACTCTCTTTCACGGTTCTGTGCCTTTCTCTGTGTTAAACACCTTCTTACTCTTCACCCTGCCCCACGTGTCGACACAAGTTCCTCTGTGTGTCACCGTATTTGCTCACTGGTCCGTTACAGAATTTAACACACCTTTGCTGGTGACTATGTCTGAATCCTTGACGGTAGGAGCCTTATCTTATCATATTTGTATCTCCAATGCTCAGTATTCAGTTACTCTCAATAAATATTTATTTGAATGAATAAAACGGTCTTATAGTAAGAGTAACTTTATGGATCTAGGTATATTATTTCTTTTGTTTACTGAAGTAAAATATTTTGGTGATTTTCTTTGTGGCTATCTCCTTGAAATCTCGTTCTTTCTTTTCAGGGGTTGGCAAACTTTTTCTGTAAAAATCTCAATGGTAAATATTTTAGGCTTTCGAGGACACATATGATGTCTCACATATACGTTTTTCCTTTCTCCTTTATCTTTTTAAGCAACCCTTTAAAAATATAAGAACAGGGACACCTGGGTGGCTCCATCGGTTAAGTGTCCAGCTCTCGGTTTTGGCTCAGGTCACGATCTCAGGGTTGTGGAATCGAGCCCTGTATCAGGCTCTGCAGTTAGTGGGGAGTCTGCCTGAGATTCTCTCCCTTTCCTTCTCCCTTCCCTTCTACTCCTCTCCTCTCTCCCAGCTAGTCCTCTCTCTCTCTAAATAAATAAAATCTTAAAAAAAGGAAAAGTAAAAATGATTTTTAGCTGAAGGCTGCACTAAAAGAGGCCTTGGGCAGCATTGGTCCACAGGCTGCAGTTTACTAAACCCTGGTTTAGGTCGATACCATCAAAAGTAGTCAGTCATTGTTTAAGAGTCTCTCTGAAGCAGTATGAAAACAAAGCGTTCTGAGAGACAAAACCCTCACTGCTGCTTGAGTTCAACTGTACCTCTGGCACAATGGTGCTAATAAAAAGCTTCAAATATGCTGAAGCCCGTCGTCAGATAAATTCAACAAGCATGACATGGGTACAATTTGACAGGCAGGCCTTGAACTGATGAAGGAACCAGATCTTCTGACCGTAAGTCACAAGTGATCTACCAATCAAAAAATATGACGGAAAGCCAAGAAATGGCATGTCACTTCTTGCCTAAAATTTTTAATGGTTCCTGAGTGTAATTAATAAGGTTCCCTACATGCCTTTACAGCCTCATCTTTAGTCCCTTTACCTAACCACACTGGCTCTTTTATTTAATTTTTTAAACTCACTGTTCTCCCCTTTACATATGTTACTTCCACTGCCTAGAATGATCCTACCAGTGCACATCTCTCCTGATGACACTGATAGATTAAAAAGGACTTCTTCCTCTGCAGTCCTCAGAGGACAGATATATATATATATATCTGTATATATAAGATATATAAGATATCTGTATATCTTAAATATAAGATATATATATATGTAATATATATATTATCCTCTGGTTTTGTTTTTTTTATAAACACACAACCAGTAAAAAGGAAAAATTGAGAGCATAATCTAAATCTATGTATGAACTGCACAAATATGATATACTGTATGAAGAGGTTATACATATTTAAAATATATAAACATTACACATTTTAAAAGTTAAGGTTAGGAATAAATATTAATAGAGCTTCTTCTTACAACCTCATAAATTGTTTTGCACATCGCAGAGATCTGTAAATGCTACTCTGGAAACTACTGCTTTACTAAGACAATTTTATATATATAGCCAAGCCTTTATTAAATAGTTCCAATCCACATTGCCCTGTAACACCACACACTCCTCTACCTCAACTCAACTTTTAAAATCTCTATTTTGTGTCTGCCTACTCTTGTACCTAGTATTTTGAATTATTCCCTCTGGACCCCATCAAAACAACTGCACATCTGGGAGCAAGCCTACCTGGACTTAAGGAGCATGAAAGGGAGGACTAGGACACTGTTTTAGTGTACATTTCTGCTCATTCACACATCCCACAACCGCTTCTGTTTTTTCCTATGGTACGTAAATACAAATTGTAATTTATGTTGTAAAAGTTCATAGTATCATATTTTAAGTCTGTTCACAAGTAACAGGTGGGAGACTCTAGTTAAAATCTGGTGAAATAAACAGTACTTGCCTGTTGAAGAAGTACTCTCAGATGACGACCTCTTCCGGGTGGGGCTACAGTTTGTGCTCTCTGATGGTCGCTGGGAAGACTTTTCTGAGGTTGGCTGAGAACCTGGAGGGAGAGGAAAAGATAGACATCATAGGAAAATTCAAGTCTAAAAATGAAGTCAAACGATGCTGTGTCAGAACTGTAATGTTTTGGTTGTTGTCGCTGCCATTCCCTGCAATAATACAACTTCTAAGTGGATGACAACAAGTGGACAATAAGCAGAGGACAAACCATACTACGTGCTGCCAACAGAATTCCACAGGTCTCATGTACATGAATTTCTCCTGTTACGTTAACAGAGGGAAAACTAGTTTTAGTGGAAGAATGAACAGAATACACGATTTAGTTTTTATGTATCACTACTATGAAACATATTAAGACATTTATTGATAAAGGTCACTAGCCAAATTCTAATCATGTCTGTTCCTGATTATCAATTCAAATTCATCATATGAACTGACAAACAAAATTTATAATGCAATTAATTAGGAATGACTAATGTGAGAAAGCAGGTCCACCCTGAGCATTTGATAGAATCAGAGGTGAGAAGCAGAGTCAGACCTTAAATCAGTACATCCTATCTACTCCACAGAAGTCACTTTCCTAGTCTGTGTGTTTCCTCTACAGCATATTCGGGAAGAACTGGTGACTAATTTATCCATGGAACAGAGCAAACCTACTTTAAAGCTGTACACATAAGGTTCCTATATACATAAGAGGTCATAAAGACAAAGAAACAATTTCCTTTCAAAAAGTTACACACTTTTTGCCAAAACCCGAAATCAATGCAGCATAATTTAACACATTTCTTACTGAAGAGAAAAGTATGTTGTTCAGGAAAGATTATTTTTCTGGATAAAATATACTTGGTTCTGATACAGGATTCCTTATAACCAAAAAAGCCAGCTGTTGAGAATACATAATAAATATCCATCTCATGTTTATCAAAAAACTAGCAGTACTGTGAAATGTTTACTTTTAACTAGAAAAGAAATTACAAATAGAAAGCCTTACATGTAACTAGAAGCACAAAAGGTACAAGAAATCAAATACTTGAAGATGAGATTTTTAAGATCTGCCTCTAAATGAGAGTTAACTCCTTAATGAAGACGTGACTAAGTGAATGAAGAACAACCTGAGGACAGAAGAACTGAATGGAGCTACGTTTCTAGTATTTCCCTTTCTCTGAGAGAAATAATAAACCCCAATATCTTAAACCCCAGTATCTTAAATCACATCATTGTAAATCCTCTTTTAGCAGGCTCTTTTAGCGTTGCCCATAGGACTATGTGTTGCCATTCAAGAGTAACAAGTTAGATTTTTGGGAAACTGATATTGTGATAGTACATCCTATTTCTCAAACAGTGACGACTAATATGAGATCTAATCAAGAAGCAATACTGTTTATTGTTGAATCTTAAAAATAAATACAAAGGGATTTTAAAAACCAGCAGTACAATAAATCCCCCCTAGATTGTGGTTCAGATAAAATTTCCATCAAAGAGCTAAATACCACAATAAAAATATCTAAGTGAAGACATAACTTTATAAGTATTAATACTGAAAAATTCATACACTGGACAGATAAATATTTCCTACTCAGACACACAGCCAAGACAGAAGACAACAGTGGCCAAGAAGCTTGAGACATCAGTGAATTCTCTATCACTATTCTCCTGATGAACAGGCAAACAATCTTAGATTAACTACGAGGGAAAGGAGGTGTTGGAGAGTACTTTTTATAAAGTCTTCTCTCTCAGTCATAAACTAACATTTATTGAGGGCACTTTATATGCTTAGTCCTATGCTAGACATTGTGCAGGTGGGGGAGAGATATAAAAACAGCATACAAGTCTCTGCCCTCAAGGAGCTGATCTAGGATCTTGAATGTCATCATGTACTACATTTCAGATGGCATTTGTGCCATCCATTCTTGAGCTCCGTCTTCAGTTTCTAGGCTATTTGGTAACGTTTCCCAAATTTCTTGCTCATCTTCAAGAAAGTCTTGATGAGGCTTCAACTGTACCTTTGATCATCAGGATATCCTGAGAATCACCCTGCCTGGCCTCACCCACCTCAGGGTAAAAGAGGGTACAGGCACTTTCTTCAAAGCTCCTTCTTTTGGTGGCATCTGGAGCTGCAGAGGAGGCAGTGGGAGGTGGAATGGGGGGTCAGATCCCCGGAGATCGTTATTGGCAGCATTGTACAGCAATTCCTGAGAAACTGAAACAATTGAGAGAGACATGGCTTAGCTCACTTAGCTTCTGAGCCGCTTTTCATTTCCTGAAAGTAATGGAGGCCAGCAGCCCATTCTTAGGATTTAACAGGAGATTGGAATAAAACTTCATTCAGGATGGTTCTCATTTTTCATTTTAAAAGTCTGTTTGAATTCCCTTTTCATAAAAAGCAGAGATGTTCTTAACACTATTCCATATTTAAGGGGAATAAGGATGTATCCCTGAGATATAGATCTCTAGGGTTCGGTAATCATCAGAATCACTAATTCCTTATTTCATTTTAAAACGTTGCTTATAGGATAGTAAGATGAGGAGAATACCTGAAAAAAATGACCTAATGATGTAAAGCAACCAAGATTAAGACTGGAAAATGATGACCAAAACTTACATGCACGAGGTAGCAACCTGTTAAAGATGTTCAACCTGGCCTAACAGCAGAAATCATAGGAAATCTGCAAACATTACCTCCAACTGCCAAAAACGTACTGTGCAGCTGGGTGGCTAGAGAAGAGCAAAGTAACACCCAGAGAGAACAAGCATGTCCATTTCAAAAGCGACCAATAAATCCATGTTTCAAAACCTAAAAGAGAGTGCAGCGCAGAACTGTGTGTGGTGGAATGTTAAGTACATCACCAAGGGGCAAGGTGCCCTGAGTCTGAGTCCTGGCTCTGCTACAAATTAGATTTTAAGATCCAGGCAGGTAAATGCACTTGAATGTTGGTTTGATAAAGCACTCTAACTCACACGGCTAATGTGAATTCCGAAGTGAAGCAATGTAAAAAATTAAAAGGGTTTTTATAAATGTCATACTATTACACGTAAATTGGCTCCTTAGGTTTATCGTTAAATTTTTAGACCCTAATTACTTAATAATGTCACTGACAGGTGTAGGCAACTATTCGATATTAAAATAACAAAGAAGGGTAGGGACTTATGCCCAATTAGGAAATGGAACTAATGTAGACTATCATGCATCATTCTTAAACATGAAGAAGAGCCAGTAAAAGAGGTACGTCTGACAGGGAAGTAGGAGTAAGAAGGTACCTCCAAGGCTCATAGGTACCCACAAGGCTGGAAAAACCTCCTCTGAAGTGAATCTTGAATCCACTGACTCTTGAGTACAGCTTCTCCAGGGCTATGGAGATGGTTATGCTCTGGATTACATCCATAAAACCCGATGTGCCCACAGGAGGCACGAGAACTTGTCCAACTCCGTTCCGGAGGAGTGCGGCCGTCTGCTTCCCCTGCTCGCTCCTCACATCTCCAACAACGTGGCGGACTCCTCAGGGCGGCGACTGCGCGGCGGCCTCTGTCACGTGATACAGGTTTCTTCCTGTCTCATCAGGGGTCACTTCAGATCTGCCTGGGGGGGCATGTGAAGCCCCTCCACTCCTTGTAGGACAAGAGGTTTGTATGGATTCCAGTTCAAGAAACTCTGGTACTCCATCAAAGAATACACACGGAGACTACATATAATTTTACTTATCAGAGACTTCTCATCATTTCTCATTTCAATATAGTATAAAGCCGACTAATTAAATACTTCAGAAGTAAACAGAATATAACGGGATTCTTCAATTCACAAAACTATTGGGTAGAAACACTACTGAGTGTCTCATTACTCAGATATCTGGCAGCTTCAGAAATATGTTTAGAAATGCCACACACATAAATGAAGTAGAAATTACAGATAAATCACAAAAGAAGTACCCAAATAAAACTGCACTTCAGCATAAATGTATGTTGATTACTACATGTATATTCTTTCTCTTCAGTTGGAAAAACAGAGATCTTCATGTAAAACAGAAGGCAGACTATCAGTAAGGAGGGAAACTGAAAGGGGAGAATATCATAAATTGGGAAAATAATGAGGGAACTAAGAACTGAACACACTCAGACATGTGAAGGAGCCTTGGAAGTCGTATTAACTATATGGTCTCTGGGTTTTACCTGGCCACTATTCAATGAGCTTTTAAACATAAAGACAGACTTTGGGGAAACATTTTTGCCAAATTAGACAAAAAGGGGGAAAGATGATACTTATACAGCAAAACCATAAGAGGAAATCATGGATAAGAAAGACAGAAAGTTGAGAAAACAAAAAAAGAACATAACTGGATTTTAAGGGACAAGAATCTGGAAATCTTTCCATGATACCCAAAAGTGGGTGGAAACCAAGAAGCTGTTTTGAAGTTGATTTGTCACAAGATATCTTGCTTGATGTCTACACAGGAGGAACTGAAACCACTCTAAGATAAAAAAAGAAATATTACATTTACAGATGCCTGGGTGTGAAGACAAATGGGCATGGGAGTGGAAGGTGTTGCAAAGAAAAAACTGGAGTAATAATTCAACCTAACTACTTCATTGAAGCCTGGAGTATCCTAGGCTAAAAATGAAGAATTTCCAAATGTAAATTAACAAAAGAACACAATGAATGAAACCAACGGCTGGTTGGATAAATCATGTATTTCTTCAGTGTAAATCCACTATGAAAATTTTCATAACTTATAGTTATGAATTCTGGTCATGCCCTGTTGGGAGCTCAGCACTAAAGACCCAAGAAACCAGGGAATGGTTTGGGTAAGCAGAATGTTTGATGTTTCTTTCTTTCTCTTTTAAAAAGATTTTATTTTTCAGTAATCTCTACACCTAATGTGGGGCTGGAACTCACGACCCCGAGATCAAGAGTCCCACGCTCCTCCGACTAAGCCAACCAGGTGCCTGTGTTTGACGTATCTAATGCTAGAAATATCTTTGGGTAAGCTACGGGAGAACAGATTAAGTGTACCAGATTTGGAAAGACACCATGCTGTAACCAGTTTA